TTCCCTGTGCCATTCCCTGAGCGTCACGCCAGATATCTCACAAACTGTCTACTCTCCTAACCTCCTGGCCGCACTCAGACCTACTAAAAGGAAGTCCCGTGATGGAAATGCCCACCACCAGGCCACTGGGAACCTGCATCCGCCGGCGTGGAACCACACTCCAGGCTGTGCTCTGTGCTCTCTCTTCTTCTCTCTGAAGGACTCCTGCTTTGCCTTGTCCCCTCCCTTGCTCCGTCTTTCACGTCTCCTTCTGAAGGAGCTGCTTACCATCCGAAGTCCTGGAGGAGAACCCAGAGGTGGCTCCTAAGTTAAAAATCAAACAAACTTGAGAAATTATACCCCGTCTGATTCAAATGTATGATATATCAAGATCATTGTGCTGTCGTGTCATGTGTAAATAATTAAAACAAATTTTAAAAAAATTAAACAAATTTCCAAGCCTCAGGTTCCTGTGGTCTCTCCCCACCAGCCCCTCGTGCTCCCCTCTCAAGCCCCCATCCCACCCCCACCGTCTGGCTGTCCTCCCAGGACCTCACTGTCAGGTCCAACAGGGTCGGCTCAGTCCTCACCTGCTGGCAGCATCGGACTCTGTCGGCAGGCCTCTTTCCAGAACATTCTCTCACTTGATTTCCATGACTTGACGTTCCTCTGATTTTTCTAGACTTCTCTAGCCACATCCTGTCAGACTCCTTTTCAAGCCACTCTTCTCTTAGCCACACCATAAATGTTGGTGTCCCTTGGGAGTGCTGTGTTATCTTCTCTGACCGCCCTGAACACTGTCCCTGAGTAATTTCATCTACTTCTCCACTTGCAATCCATGTTGACGTCCTCCGAATCCATGTTTGTGAGCCCTGACCTGGCTCGGCAACTCCAGATCTATAATTCTATTGAGCCTCTCCTCTTGGCCTCTCTGATTCAAACCAGTGAAGCGCGGTACCTCTGGCCTCCTCATCACCCAGAGCTCTTCCTGTGCCTCGTGACTCCCAAGTGTAGGCCATCAGCGAATGCCCGATCAAGTCCACCCTCTAAGTACCCTCAAGTCAGTGCATCCTGGAGAGAAGACTGTAGGGAGGTGCTGAACCTGCAGATGGCAGGGGTTCAAATCCCAGACCTACCTCTTGGTGAGGCAAGTAACTCAGCCGCTCTGTGTCTCTTACAGCACAGGAGGCAGGAACAGACTCCCCCGCCACTCGGGCACCAGGAGGGCTCCCTGAGCTTGCGCGTGTCAAAAAGCACTTAGAAGGGCCTTTGCCACACAGTAGGCATTGGATATCCTTGGAGTCCTTGCTGCCACTCGCTAGCACCAGCCACCCACCCCCTGTTTCCTGGCTGACCATTACAGCCTCCCATGGTCCTTCTGCTTGTCACTTGTCCCCTCTCAATCTGGTTTTCACACTACCGTCAAAAGGACCTTACAGAAACAATCAAGAGTGTGCAGAGAGCCTACAGGAGGGGACAAAATCTTTGCCACCTGCACCTCAGATAGAGCACTAATCTCCAGGATATAAAGAACTCAAAAACACCAAAAAACAAATAACCCAATCAATAAATGGGCAAAGGAATTGAACTGGCACTTCACAGAAGAAGGAAATACAAATGGTCAAAAAATATATTTTAAAAAGTTAATATCAAGGGCTGGGGATGTGGCTCAAGCAGTAGCGCACTCGCCTGGCATGCATGCGGCCCAGGTTCGATCCTCAGCACCACATACCAACAAAGATGTTGTGTCCGATGAAAACTAAAAAATAAATATTAAAAAAAATTCTCTCTCTCTCTCTCTCTCTCTCTAAAAAAAAAAAAGTCAATATCACTAGAATTAGAGAATGCAAATTAAAACTACCCTGAGATTCCATCTCACTCCAGTCAGAATGGCAATTGTCAAGAATACAAGTAACAATAAATGTTGGCGAGGATGTGGGGGGAAATGTTCATTCACACATTGCTGGTGGGACTGCAAATTGGTGTAACCACTCTGGAAAGCAGCATGGAAATTCCTCAGACAACTTGGAATGGAACCACCATTTGACCCAGCTATCCCACTCCTCGGCATATATCCAAAGGACTTAAAATCAGCATACTACAGAGACACAGCCACATCAGTGATTATAGCTGCTCAATTCACAATAGCTAAGCTATGGAACCAACGTAGGTGCCCTTCAACAGATAAATGGGTAAAGAAAATGTGGTTTATATATACAATGGAATAATACTCAGCCATAAAGAAGAATGAAATTACAGCATTTGCCAGTGAATGGGTGAACTGGATATTCTCATGCTAAGTGAAATAAGTCAATCCCAAAAAACCAAAGGTCAAATGTTCTCTCTGATATGTGGATGCTAACAAAAAATAAGGGCGGGATAGAAATTCATTGGATTAGATAAAGGGGAATGAAGGGAAGGGAAGGAGATGGGATTAGGAAAAACAGTAGGATGAATCAGACATAACTTTCCTATGTTCATGCATACACAACCAGTGTAACTCCACATCATGTACAACCTCAAGAATGAGAAGTTAGGGCTGGGGTTGTGGCTCAGTGGTAGCGTGCTTGCCTTGCATGCATGGGGCACTGGGTTTGATCCTCATCATCACATAAATAAATTAAATAAAGGTATTGTGTCCATGTACAACTAAAAAAATGTTTTTAAATGGGAAGTTGTACTCCCTGTATGTATAATATGTCGAAATACACTCTACTGCCATGTATATCTAAACAGAAAAAAATAAAAAAGGAATTGATCATGTTGTTTCTTTTTTATTTTTTTAATGTTTTTTGTTTCAATTAGTTATACATGACAATACTGCACTTTGGTACATCATAAATATTGGAATATAATTTCTCATTCTTCTGATGGTACGTGATGTGGAATCACACGGGTCATATGGTTATATACGCACATAGGTAATAATGTCCGTTTCATTCTATGTCCTTCCTACCCCTTCACCCCCTCCGTTTCCTTCACTCCCCTCTACTTATGTTGCTTCTTAATTAAAATCGTAACCCTGGTTTCCCATTGCTCTTAAAATAGGTTTCAGGTCTGACTGTGCTCACCAGTTCCCCTGGGACCTGGCTTCCGGCCCCTCTCCTGACTGACCTCTACCCTCTCTCCTACATGCCTCTCCAGCCACCCTGGCCATCTCCATTATGGTTCCTAGAAGTCCTCTCTCCTCTGGGCCTTCTCAGTGATGGTTGCTGTGCAAGGGACACCCCTTCCCTACCCAGGTCACCTGCCTGGGCTCTGCTAACCTACTCTTCAGGTCTCAGCTTACTGTCACTGGCTCTAGAAGATGGGACTCTGAGCTTCCCCAGGAGGAAAGTTCCTCCCTCCCCCATCATGGACCTCCCCACTGGGCCCATCAACACATACCTGACTGCTTCTCCTGCACATGATGTGCTCTGCTATCTTTCAGAATTTTTTTTTTTTAATGGCTGACTGCCATGAGGTCTTTGGGAGCAGGAACTGCATTTGATTCCCCACTTTATCCCAAGAACCTTTCATCTAAGAAGCACTCAATAAATATTTGCTTAATGAATTAAAGGATAAAATTTCAACACAGATGTCAATTTTTCAGGTAATGGAAGTTACTATAGTTCATTCTAGACACCCAACACCCGAAAAATCTTAAAATAATAGAGTCTGCTCTTGTTTGGTGGCTCTCTCTTGAGAAGCCTCGCACAATCTTCTCCAGTGACTTCTCCACGCCCCATCCCTTCTCTAGTGCACCTTCCTCCCCGATAGGTTCCAGAGAACTTCACAGAAAAGAAGTCTCACTTCTTTCCACAGAGAGATCTGGAGCAGACAAGACTGTGGCCTACTTGGACATGAAGCAATGACCCTAATCACAGGTGACAACCCTCTCTACTTAATATTATCTATGCCAACCAAGAGAATAGTTAGTAAAATAGTCAAATCAAACTTCAAATGGTCTTTCCCCAAATGTTTTCACAGTAATGACTTGCAATACAAGGTAATATTGTTGGTTTTAGAAAGTAAGAAAAGAATTTCTTTCATTTTAAAATGTGTTCTTTTAAAATTTCCTCCCTTAGGCTAAAAGATGAGATTCCAGAAGAGCGTGTGTCAGTACCGATTATGATTAAGCTCTTATTCTTTTGTATTAATGTTTGGGCATCTTTTGATCACCCAACATGTTCTCTCTTCTCCCCGCATCCTACCGTTTCTCTTTCTTCTGACAGTTCTTGAGGGCAAAGGAAAGAGAAGAAAAAGTATACAATACACATGGCTAGACATCTGAGGAAGGAGAGGGATCTTGCAATATGATCATAAGTGGAGAAAGAAGGCTTTGCACATATGTATATATAATCAAGTCATGCATGTAGATGTGTGTATGTGTGTATATATAAATACTTGGTATATATAAATACATGTATTAATGGAAATACATGTGTATACATATATAAAAATACATAAACACTTAGTAATTTCTAACATGTTATTAATTAATTTCTAGGGTTATCTCTAGAAATGGGTAAAATTTCCATAGGTACATATGAACACATATTGAGTATACACCCATAGTTTATATTTATGTTGATATTATATTAATATAAATATATATTATTAATATAGTATTCATGTTATTTATATGTATAATGTATATATAACTATATATGTACTTTATATACATGTGAATATATATATGCACCCATATGTTCATATGCATTTATGAAAATTTTATTCATTCATGGAGATGACCCCAGAAATTAACTAGTAAATCACATTGTGCACACTGTTTATGTTCCTAAAAAACTATATCACCAAGCGCATGAATGTGAATTTTTTATTTCTTTGTAATCCCTGACTTTTGGGAGAATTTGTGGGTAAACTTTTTGTCTGGACTCATGAAAGAGTTTCTTCCCAAAACTGTCACAGGGAAACCAAAGTAGAGCAAATGCTTTGCAGATCTGAGGATAGTTCCTTGACACCACCCTAAAATCCTAGGGATGCCCCAGGAAGTTACCTGCTAAGGGCCAGCGCCTTACCTCACACACTTCACACTTGTCCCAGGCCCACTTGTCCAGGCAGGCCTCTGCTGTCACAGCCTAGCAGACAGATGACCTTTCCAGGAGAAGCCAGGTTACCTCCCACTCTTCCTCTCCTTGCCCAGGTCTGAAGGTCAGTATCGGCCTTTCTGTTCCCAATGGCTCCTCTCCTCCCGTGTCACTGGGAATGAGAGATGCGAGTTTCCACCAAATTTATTCATTATTGTCTAGCTGTGCACACATCACATGCCTTCTCTGAACTTTACTTCCTCTCCCTCCACTGAGTAATTTGAACAGCATCTTTATTTATTTATTTGGTACTGGGGACTGAACCCAGAGACCCTTTACCACTGAGCCATGTCTCCAATATATATATTTGAGATGGATCTCAGTTGCTGAGTTCAAAGTTCAAGGTTGGCCTTGAACTTTGAATCCTGTTGCCTCGGGCTCCTTAATCACTGGGATTATAGTCTTGCACCACCGCACCCAGCTGAACTATTTTATTTCTTTGGTGGTGCTAGGGATTGAACCCATGGCCTTGTGCATGCAAGGTAAACACTCTACCAACTGAGCTATATCCCCAGCCCCCTCCTCGCCCCATGAACTAAGTCATCTTTAAGCTACTTTTAGCTCCACCATTGGATTCTAATTTTCTAAGATGTGGAAAGATAGGTCTGCTGGCATTCCAGTACCTGCTCCATGTAGTAAAAATGTTTGACCAGTTTATTAAAGCTAAGTATCTTTTCTAGTGAACACAAAATGAGGAGCTTAGGTTTAAGGACAGTCTGTAGGATGGAAAGGGAAGATCTCACAGGTTGACATTTCTTCTACTAACTGGATCTTAAGTGGAGGCAAAGGAAGGAGGAGGGCAGTTTGCGGAACAGCTTATCCCATTGAAGAGATCTGGAAGCAACAGGAACAACTACAACAACACCTCTTTCCTGACTCTGAAGGTTAGAACAGATCTGGGGAAAGAGTCTAAGAGAGACAGTGAGAGGGGGATTAGAGAAGACTCCATTCTGTAGCTGTATATTTACTTTTGACTTGTTAAACCGTGTGTTACTTTGCACTCAGGGGGAAAAGATACATAAGATTAGTGAAAAGTAAAATCCCCACAGTGAATTTTTATTGAGCTCCTCTAGGATTTATTTTGCTCACAGGGAGCTCCCATGTGGAACCCCTGCTGCTCTTCACCCCTGTCCACAGAGGTGAAAGAGGAGCCCGGTCTTACCGCTAAAGAAACTTCCACAAAAGATCACAGCCCATCCCACTCTGCCCACCAGAGCAGGAAAACCGTGGCTGTCTCAGCAGGGAACGTTCTCTTCGGAAGGCTGGAGAGCTTATCTCACAGAACCTTGGATCTCCCCGGGGGGTGGGGGTGGGGTTCAGAAAACCCATTCTCTTACCAAGGTCAGAAAAAAAAAGGCAGGGGCTGGAGCTGTGGCTCAGTGATAGAGCACTCCATGTGTGAGGCCCTGTGTTCAATCCTCAGCACCACATAAAAATAAATAAATAAAATAAAGGCATTGTGTCCAACTACACCTAAAAAAATTTTTTTAAAGAAAAAAAAAGGCAGGAGTTTTATGCTTAAGCAAAACAAGAGTCAGCATGAGGAACAAAAGGCATAACTGAAATTCATTAGGGGCTGAGGCTGTAGCTCAGCGGTAGAGCAGTTGCCTAGCATGTGTGAGGCACTGGTTTCAATTCACAGCACCACATATAAATAAATGAATAAAATAAAGGTCCACCAACACCTAAAAAAATTTAAAAAAAGAAAGATACTCATTAACCAGACTTTGAAAGAGCCTTAGGGATGGCAGTGCACACCTATAATCCCAAGTACAGGGGGCTGAGGCAAGAGAGTCACAAGTTCAAGGCCAGGGAAACTTGGTGAGGCCTTGATTCAACTACAAAAAAGGGTGGGTGATGTGCCTCAGTGGTAGATGCCCCTGTGTTAAATCCCTAGAATCACAGAAGCTGAAGCATGAATAGGGAAAAAGAGAGAGAGAGCCTTAAACAAATTTGTTCTCTGTCTACATGCTTCGTTGATATCTTTTAATTACTGGCATTTTTACCTGCCATTAACTATTAATGAAGGGGGCTAATATTACTAATGTGTTATTATCTGTTGTAGCAGAAGTGACTACTTGTCCCTGGTATTTATTTTACCCATTTCCTATTTTTTCATTTTATTATCATTTTAATGGCACAAATTGATAGTCTAATACATATATACAGTGCACAATGATCAGATCAATGTAGTTACTAAAGGGAAAGCAAGGAACGAGAAATGGGTAAGCGAGAAATAAAAGATGGAGACCAGGCGGAGATACCTGAGAGTTTGTCAGAGCTGACAAATAAAGGCCATCTCTCTATAGCAGAGAGAGGCCAAACAGGCTTGGCTTCTGGGACTTTTATAGGGCAGGCTCAGGAGTCAGAGCCAGGCGGGTTCTAATGGGGCCGTTAGGGGTGGGGTTGGAATGAGGGAGTGGTGAGTCTTTCTCAGGCCCTTGGACAGGAAAACAAAACTTTTTCCTTAAAATGGCAGTTGTCGCTTAAGATGGTGGTCCAGATGCTAAGCAAGGACCTTACAGTTAACATTTGCATTTCCTTAAACAGTTTTTAAATACTTGATTATAATGAAGTACAGTGTCTACTGCTGTACTATGCACAATAGCTAAGATATGGAATCAACTCACAGGCCTATCAATGGATGCATGGAGAAAGGAAGTATTTTACCTACCCACTCTACTAAAGATCAGCCTGAGGCCAGATCCTGCCTGCCACCTGGTTTTTTTTTTGTTGTTGTTTGTTTGTTTTTTTAACTGAACCTGAGACTGCCACACATTTTACTGCCCCCCTTTTTTTTTTAGTTGTATTTACTTTTATTTTATTTATTTATATGTGGTGCTGAGGATCCAACCCAGGGCCTCACATATGCCAGGCAAGTGCTCTACCACTGAGCCACAACTCCTGCCCCAGCCTTTTTTTTTTTTAAGGACAAATTTTATTATTTTTTATAACTTACTTTATTTATTTATTTATTTATTATGTGGTGCTCAGGATTGAACCCAATGCCTCACAAGTGCTACTAGGCAAGCGCTCTACCACTGAGCCACAACCCCAGCCTCTGCCACCTGTCTGTATAGATAAAGTTTTATTGGAACACAGCCACAGACACTCATCTCTTTATTGTCCATGGCTGCTTTTCCACCACAATCACACAGAGATAGTTGAGACAGAAGGCATGTGGTTCACAAAAGTCTTAAGTATTATCCAGATGGCTATTTATAGAAAAAGTTTGCCAACGTTTGTTCTATAATAGTAGAACACAGAACTTTAAGTATCTAGAAGAAGGCTGGGGATGCGGCTCAAGTGGTAGCGCGCTCACCTGGCGTGCGTGCGGCCCAGGTTCGATCCTCAGCACCACATACAAAGATGTTGTGTCCGCCGAAAACTAAAAAATAAATATTAAAAAATTCTCTCTCTCTCTTAAAAAAAAATAAAATGAAAATAAGTATCTGGAAGAGAGACTTAATTTTCCAACTTCCCCTAAGCCTCATGAGCCTAGGGTTGCCAAAAGATGCAAATGAAGCTGGGTGTGGTGGTGCCGGTTTGTAGTCCTAGTTACCTGGGAGGCTGAGGCAAAAGGATCACAAGTTAGAGGCCAGTCTCAGCAACTTAGTGAGACCCTGTCTGAAAATAAAAAATAAAAAGGGCAGGGAATGTAGCTCAGTGGTAGAGCATTCCTGGATTCAATCCCCCAGTCCACCATCCCCGCAAAAAAGATGTAAGTGAAAACTATGTACAGCTTCATCTGAAACCATGAGATGATCTCGAGAACAAAGGGCACAAGTGGTAGACTGATAGGGCAGGAAGAGCCTGATCCTAACACACAGAGTTTTGTACTAGCCTGGACATTCTGTCAGTCTCTAGATAAGAGACAGAGACAAATCCTTACTTTGGATTTTTTTTTTTTTAAACCAGGGATTGCACCCAGTGGTGGTTACCCAGCGAGCCACATTCCAGCACACACCATTCCTTTTTTTTCTGAGACAGCATCTGCTAAATTGCTGAGGGCCTCACTAAGTTGCTGAGAGTGGCTTTGAACTTTCTGTCCTCCTGCCTCAGCTTCCCAAAAGGCTAGGCATGCGCCACCCTACCAGACCCTTACTGTGGATTTTAAGACTCTTACAATTAAATATAATCTTCATATGTACATCTTCTTTTAATGTAAAATTCAGCTAAGCTAAAAAGAAAGTTTTATGTCTCTTCCTCAAACAAAAACCAGTTTTCTATCAGCATTCAAATAAACAAAGAGATGTTATAACAGCTATTTAAAATAATTTCACATAAGTGACCCCAGACCATTCAACAGAGACATGGGAATGCTCCTGTTCACATCTGAAGCTTTGGTTTTATAAGCTGTAACTTCTCAGTTCATCATCCGGGTCCTTAACTGAATGAGGACAGGATGCTATTTCTTGTAATTATAATAACTATTAAACAAAGTTGTCATGCCCTAAGTAATTGAGAATGTCAAATCCAGAATGTGTGCTTTCCTAATGTGTCACCGCAAATGAATGGGGGGGGAAATCGGGATGTATTGGCTACAATTCATCTTTTCCTTCTGGCTGTTATTTTCCTTCTGCCTTCATCCTTAAGTGGCAAAGCTGTTCTGTCACAACAGGGGAGAAACCTGTGCCTGGTGACACAGCAGGTATGGGGCACATGTTTTAACAAAATGCCTTTTTATTAATTTAATTAGCACCTGCGATCCCAGGCTAGCATGCAGAGCCAGAAGCTGAAGCATGAACCCAACCATCTCCCTCCCCGAAGCAAACCTCCGCAGGGGCCCATTTTCCTCCATCTTCTTCCAGGGCAAAGTCGTTTGTCATTTAATCCTGTTGTCACTCTTGGCTTGCTGTTTTCTCTGGAATTGAAAAGATGGAAAATCTGAACCTTTCCAGATAGGTGGCGAATTATCCACCTATTTTGTTTTTATTTGATGAAAAAATATTTGAAGAATCAGGAGTCTAATGTGCCAAAGACATCCTTGATGGTTTAGTCTCACCTCCTGTCTCTCTAGAAAGCTCAGTCTCAGAGAAGTGAGGTCTTTTGTCCAGAGTCATGGAGAAGTCTGGGTTAGACAGTGAACCTTTGACACAGTTCAAGGCTTTTTTGTGTCCTGGACAAATTCAGATGGCTTCAAGACCTGTCACTCTTAAGGAATGCAACACGGAGCTTAGCAGGTTTGTTCAGTGAATTTCACCCCAAGGCAAGGAGGACTCCGAGCATGTGGAGAGGCTCAGGATGGTCACATCCAACACTTGGTTGGCAACAAACCTAATCAAAGATGGCACCATCCAAGACAATCAGATAGACCTACTAATTCAATAGTTTTGTGAAGACATGCATTTGGTTCTGCTGGGAAAATGTCTTAGATTACCACCACCCAGAGCATCCAGCCATTATCAAACTTTTATTCTCTTATTATAACTAAGTACTTAGTAAGAACTCTAAACTGATTTTTTTTTTTTTTTTAGAGGGAGAGGACACGGAAATGAACCCAAAAGCAACTTAACAAATAACCAAAACCCCAAACCTTTTTTTTTTTTTTTTCTTTCTCCAAAGACAGGGTCTTACTAAGTTGCTTAGGGCCTTGTTTAGTAGCTGAAGCTAGCCTCAAACTTTCAATTCTTCTGCCTCAGCCTCCCAAGTCACTGGGATCACCATGCCCAGCCGTAGTCTTTATTTCAATATAACTTATTTAACTATAAATTTATAAAAGTTAATGTTAAATAATGACTGTATAACAACAGGCTGGCCAAGTTCTCCGAATCTTAACAATTGACTTTCATGAGCTAGGATGAGCCAGCACTATCGTTAGCATCAGCAAATGCTCCATAGAAGGTTTCTGTTATCAGAAAAATGGGGAACAGATGCTGAGCAGGTCAAATAATAGACATCTCTTATAATCAAGAGTTGAGTTTTTTTTTTTTTTTTAAAGAGAGAGTGAGAGAGGAGAGAGAGAGAGAGAGAGAGAGAGAGAGAGAGAGAGAGAGAATTTTTTTTTTAATGTTTTATTTTTTAGTTCTCGGCGGACACAACATCTTTGTTGGTATGTGGTGCTGAGGATCGAACCCGGGCCGCACGCATGTCAGGCGAGCGCGCTACCGCTTGAGCCACATCCCCAGCCCAAGAGGTGAGATTTTAATGAAAGTTCCAAACCAGTTTTATTGTAGCTTGAGGATATGCAAAAGAAAATTTCTATTCTTGCCAGAAATCGATTTCAGGAGAAAATCATCAAGAATTAGGGAGAGTCAAAGATGCTGGGTGAGTTTGCCCCTCCTCCTACCAAGGGCTAACAGCTCCGAGTACTTCTGCAGCCTCAGCCCTGAGGGCTGCTGGTTGGGGACAGCACAGCACCAGGGGCTGTTCCACAACCTCACCAGTGTGCTTCTCTCTTGCTCTCCCTACTTACATCCTCCACACCAGTTCATGTCAATAATCAAAATTAAATGCAGAAAAATCCTCTGTAAACTCATGGAAGTCTGAATTGTCACTTTTGGAGAAGGGAAGTTGCATTTCAGTGCACATGCTGAGCGTCTTCTTTGTCTCAGCATTCACTGACCCCTGCCTCCTGAACCTCTGCAGTACTTCATCATGATACAGTTGACACTAACATACACGTGCTCATTTTGTTATAAAGATATTGGTGGGTGAAACTTTTATCCTTCTAAGCAGGTTATTGGCTCCTGAATATCTGTTTTTATCTCCAATAATACTGAACATAGTATTAAGTGCATAGAGTGGCCTCAATTTTTAAAAATGACATGAAGATTCAACATTGAGTAATACCTTACTAGCTACCAAAATTACTTAGTTTATGAAAGGACAAGAGTGATTTGGTAAACAGGAGAGTAAATTACATTTAAATACTGCATCTACATCCTTGAGGGTGCTTTAAAAGTATTTACTTTACTTGCTTTGAAATCTTACCAATAATGCAAAGTTACATTTCAATTTTTTTTTTAAATGGTGTCATGGTAAAATGCAAGTTAAGCCTTATCCAAATCCATTTGCAGTTTGTGTTCATCAAAGCCAACGTATGAGACTTCACTGTAAGTAAGAATTTATAGCAACAGTTCTTTCTTTGTCAGTTCTTTGAGCTCGCTGTCCTGGAAGAAAACTAGCCAAACTGGACAAATTCACAGAATTCCAGAAAGGCAGCTTCAGATTAGATAGCCTGACTGAGCTAATATCTCGTGCTGGCCACTGGATGAAAGGTCACCAGTTTCTTAACACAGAGTCTAAGGTGGGAACTTGATTCCAAATGCAGCTTCCAAGCCCACTGTGGGGATCAGAACCCAAACAGTTGACAACCACTTAACTTACCTTTGGAGGCAAAGTCATCTTTCTGGCAACAAAATTGAAACAATTACCACTTAATCATCTTAATTATTCCTATCACACATTAGAAAAGTCGTAGAGTCTCAAATGCTATAATTATAGTGTCTTACTCAGCCTTTATTCTACAGCTGTGCCCTCGACATGCCCCTACCCCTTGCTAAAATAGATTCTGACTACTTTCCCAGTTTACAGGGGATGAGACCATACCTGAAGCCCTCTCCCTTTGGTTTTCATTTCTCAGTCTCCTTGTGCAAGCTGCCTTCAGCAGATGGGATTATGGCCCCTAAATAGGTGGTGTGCTAGGGTACCTGCTGTCTCATTCCGTGTTAAATTGCGTACATGTGTGCCTGTGGGCTTCTCCAGTCACACTTTAAATTATGTCTAAATTTAACTTTAATTCTAAACACAATCTCTCAGAGCAGCAAATAAAAACAGGTAATTAGAAGTTTGCAAATTTCTATTATGATAATAATTTGGAGGAACAGAAAAATAATATAAGGATGGGGATGTGGCTCAAGCTGTAGCGCGCTCGCCTGGCATGTGTTCGGCCCGGGTTCTATCCTCAGCACCACATACAAACAAAGATGTTGTGTCCGCCGAAAAAACTGAAAAAAAATAAATATTAAAATTCTCTCTCTCTTTCTTTCTCTTTAAAAAAAAAAGAAAAATAAATAATATAAATGCAGAATTTTAGAACGGCTAGGACAAATTCACAAATGTTGCTAACCTCCCCCCCACACACATACACACAAAGGAAAACATAATATTTTTAAGCCATTGTCCAATTTCCTGCTATCTCAAGTTCTTATAGAATGTGATTTTGCAGAGCTAACTTTCTAAAAATAATAACTATGCCTTATCAAACCTTCAAAGTCACAACCATTCTTATTCGAATACCATCCAAGAGATGTTATAGTAAGCTTACAAATATCATTTAATCCACTCCTTAATGACTTGCAGTCATTCCTGTGCACATTGTTTCTTGGACTGCACTGTCGTAGCAGATAGCTCAGTGAGTCCGAAATACGTCTTGTTCATTTCCTTCCCATACCGCAAACATTTTTGTTTGCTTGCTGGGGGCCAGCCATGATGCTGGGTCCTAAGAACAGATGAATGGAACTGGCCTGAGTGCAGGGATGCTCATTCTAACAGAACTCGAGAGCGCAGGGATACCAGTGCCAAGTCCAAGATAACTGGCCTTGGGCAGGTCAGCAAGAACCGGGTTACGAGGGACTTTGGACTTGACCCAGAAGTATTTTAAATGGGCAGTAACCTGATCACCATTAGGGTTCACCGTAAGGGTGTGGATGACCCTACATACAAAAAGTGAACAGGTACAGGCAAAACCAGAGACTATGAGAGGGGTTTGGAGAAGCCTGCTCTAGCCCAAACGAGAAGTGATGCCGGCATGAGCTCAGATATAGGGCATGTAGGAGCTCACATGATGCGGTGTCTGTCTTAACAGTGGACTAGAGAAGGAACAATCTGGAATGATTTCTCAGTCCCATGCTACAGCAACTGGTAGATGATGCTGTTAGCCAAAATGGGGAATTTGGAGTTCTTTTCTTTTTTGTCTTTTTTTTTGGAAACGGGGGGCCAAACCAAGGCCTTTGCGAATGCAAGGCAGACCCTTTGCCACTGAGCTACATCCCAGCCCCAAAATGGGGAATCTGGAAAGGGTAGGCTTGCCAGGAAAGGTACTCAGTTTGGGTTTTCATTCATTTATTCAACAATTAACTCTCAGTCACTAGTAAAAGCCAGTCAGTAGGCTGGCACAGTGGGTACAAGTGCAACCAAAAGGAGACAGGGCCCTGGACCTCTTGGGTTGACAGAAGATTGGCTAAGTAATCACATAAATATATGTTTAAACGCATCCTCTGTGATGATTGTGCCCTGAAGGTTTATCATGCCAGGTGTGTGTGGGGAGGGGGGAGAAGGGAGCTTCCTCAGGAATTATGAGAAAGTAGTCTTGGAGCAGAGAAAGGGAGGATGAGTGGGAGTCAGCTAAGTGCTGGGGAGGGGGGGCGGGAACAAAGTGTCCTTGGGCTCCATAGTGGGAGGGAGGTCTTTTCCCAATTCAAAGAAAACCAGTGTGGCTGGAACAGCTGGGGCAGAAGATGACACTGGAAAGGAAGATATACCAGATCACAGAGGGCCACTGGGACAGCCTGATGGGCAGGCAGGCCACACCAGTACGGCCACGCTGACAGTCAGACATTATGTAATGTTATGGTTTGGACACGAGATGTGTCTGGAAAAGTTCATGTGACATGAAGGAAGGTTCAGAGGTGAAATGATTAGATTATGATTAAACCCTTAGGTGGACTAATAATTTGAATGGGACTAAGTGGGTGGTAGCTGTCAGCAGGTGGGGTGTAGCTAAAGGAAGTAGGTCACTGGGGTCATGCCCTTGGGGATTATATCTTGTCCCTGGCTTCTCAGTCTGTGTCTCTGCTTCCTGGATGCCATGAGCTAATAGCTTTCCTCCAACATGCCCTTCTGCCAGATGGCATGCCTCAC